AAAAAAAAAAAAAAAAAAAAAAGCTCTGCACTGAATCAATCTCATATGTCTGATAAAAGAAATATTTAAACTTGACTTAGAAAGACTGGGAAGCAGCAGCGGGTACTCACAACTTTTCATTTTATCATTGCAAAAAAAGCCTTTTGGTGGATCAGCCTATCTCCACCGACTCTTTCACGTGCCAAGCACACCCTTTCTTAGAAGAGGAGGCTGACCTTTTTCTTTCTTTCCCTGTCCTCTGCCAGAGTTGTGTCTATATAGTCAGGGATACATTAATCATGGTTCATTCCCTAAAACCATTAATGAAACACACATTCCTTTACCTCTAATTCCTTACTGAACATCTCATTCAGCCAGAAAATTTTCATCGAATTTCTTTCACTATCTTGTCCACTTTGTCATCTAACTTTATAATCTTCAGATTCTAATAGGTAATAGCCATCATTTTGGAGGGAATGGGGGGAGGGTCAGGAAGAATTTTATATCCTTAGCAAGGAAGGTGATTTCTCCATAGAGAAATCTGAAATCTATTCTTGTTCTTCTAAGAAACCCCCATAGGCCCTGAATATGGACTAGATCTTGAGGGATGCTATTTTGCATTTTAAAAACCCAGTAGAAGCCAGGCTCAGTGGCTCAGCCTGTAATCCTGCGCCTTTGGGAGCTGAGGTGAGTGGATTGCCTGAGCCCGTGGGTTCGAGACCCGCCTGGGCAACTTGGCGAGACCTCATCTGTACAATAAATCAAAAAATGAGCCCGGCGTGATGGTGCGCGCCTGTAGTTCCAGCTACTTGTAAGGCGGAGGCGGAAGGATTACTGGAGCCCAGCAGGTTGAGGCTGCGGTGGCTGGGAGTGGCCACTGCACTCCAGTCTGGGTGACAGAGTGAGACTCCAACTCAAAAAAAACCCAAAAAACAAAAACAAACAAAAAAAACCCCAGTAGACCATGAAATGATAGCCATTTTCTAGAGATAGTGTGTTCTCTGACAAACAATTTTACTGGTATTTACAATTCCTCTGGAAGTCAGTAGCCTTAACTCTGAATATTTCTCTTAGACTCTAGGTTGAGTGCATACCAAGTCATTTAATTTAGTTGCTTTTTTTTTTTTCACTTCAGAGTGTGATATTGAAACATTAAGCAGCTAAGAAAATAAAGGCAAAAGCATATGGAAAAGTTTCAATGTGAGGAAAAAGGAAATGGAAAATAATTAAATTTTCAATTATTTATTTCAATAATAAAGTAATTAAATTAATTTTAAAGTAATTTTTGTTATCGTTTCCTATACCAAAACTATGAGCAGTTGCTTTCTTTAATGCTAATAATAGTAATATAAAGTAACTATCCTAGATAATGTTCATCTCACTTTCAGATAGTGCTCGCATCTCGTTTGTTTTAATGTTCTGTCTGTAGGATGTTTCGTTGCACAGCTGCTACAGTTTTGTTCTACTTCACTCCCGAACAGAGTTCTGGGTTTTCCACAAATGTACAAGACCAGAAGATTGCAAATATGTTTGAATTGTCCCTGCCTTTTCGCCAGCAGCATTATTTGGCAGGACTCGTGTTAACAGAACTGGCTGTCATTTTAGATCCTGATGCCGAAGGGTGAGTAAGCTAGTTTTCACCTTGTAGAATATCAGTTGGATTTGGGGCAGTGGGACACAAGTATTCCACTTACACATTCTAAGAATCAAAAGAACGTTCTTTCCCACTCTTTTGCTGCTTCTCCATTCACTAAATTCTACACTCATGTTATTTCTTTACTTCATCAATTGATGAAAGACATTTTTTTCCTATTTTGTCATCTCTGAATTTGAGGTTTGTCTTAAAAGTGGTAGCATATTGCCATTTATTTGGTAGCATTCTTCTTAATAGTACATAAAAGAAATTGTGCATTTAGTAGATGGATTAGTTGATATACAGTAGGTGCTTTTCAAAGGAGGAAAACAGTCTAGTCTTGGATTCCTTGTGAGGATAAGTTTTATCATTCGCCATCTTACCATATAGCATTTTATTTTAAAAACTGTCCTATAAACAAATATCCTTAGGTTTTAAAAACTGCCAATGTTTTGTACATTTTAGAGGATTTGGGGAAATTGGTATAGGAAGAAAAGAAGGGCATATTGTCTAGTTATTTGAATTTATAGAAATAGCTTAATGTGTTTATGGGCTATGTCCATCTTTTTTTTTGAAATTATTTATTTATTTTTTATTATGAAGTTGTGGAGTAGAGTTAAGGGTTAGGTATACAATTGCGTTTCATTCAGGCACGCTGTTGATATGGGGTGTTTCCCCATTCCCAGACAGATATTTGCTACTGTTAATCCCATCTCCCTCCCCCTACCATAGTTTCCCAGTACTGTCAGTCATTTTCGTATAGTATTGCATTGGATGTTTAAGGTCCATTATATGAGTGAGAACATGTGATA